TAATCAATCTTTTTACTGTTTGTATAAAAATACTGATCTCCTAAATGGAAAAGTTGGGAACTTTTGTTAAATGTATCCATTTCTTTCTATAAAAAAGCTTATCTGATTCACCAGGCTATACTGATCGCGTTCCAATATAAAAAAGAAATTACATTTCTTGTCGTTTCGTCCAAGAAAAAGCTACACGTTCACGGCCAAATAGCAATATATCAAGCACCTCCTGTCGCAACCAAAAAAACTGTATTTTACGACCTGAGATCCATCTTAGGGATACTTATTTAAAAAATGTAGAAAATTTCCTAAATTTATTGCCTATATAAGTTGTGAGGAATCAATGAAGTTTATTATGCAGAACAGTGTTCCTCTACGAAAAATAAGCAAAGGCGGGATACATGAAAATGAGGGGTTAGAAAAGGGCTTAAACTAAAAAAAAAAAATCAAATCTCAAAGCTATAAATTACATTGTAACTTGAATATTTGACAGTTCGAAATACTAGATTTTAAATTTGAGTTATCCTTTGTGTCTAGTGAACACAAAAAAGGTTAAGCGATTTAGATTGATAATATAACCTTCTAAAGCTATTATTTTTTGAAGACTGACGGTATTTGTTGACAACATTCTTGTTTGGTCCTAAACTCTTCGGTTCCAAATACTTAGTATAAGTTGTTATTTATTTTATTCCCTTATAGACTCCTAACGGTTTACCAGGTTACACTTTCTTTATATAAAAAAAACATAGCAAGAAAAAGGTGTCATAAAAAAAGTCACTAAAAAAAAATCACGTCTAATAAAAGTAATTTAACGCAGTCCATTGCATTTTTAAGCATCTCAATTAAACCATTAAGTTAAACCATATTTTTGGAAGAAATGCTGGTCCTTCGTTTTTTAAAAAAGAAATACCTAAAACGTTACCTGTGCTACAGTCGCTAAACCCCATGTGTTCGAGGAAAGTGCTATACGTTCAATTCTTGTATTTAATTCATCTTATCAATAGACGAGAGTACGGTTATTTATTCGCAGTACCTAAGTTGTACATTTAATCTTTTCTAATAATAACTGCATTTTTGTCCCAAACTTTAATATTGTAATTTCTTACGATTACCTAAAAGAAATCGTATCTTAACGAGTACCTTTATTTGTTTAGCTCCTTATCTCGAGAGGATTTAATTAATAATAAGCCAATAACAGCGAATCTGTTTGCTATTTATTTTAATTAATTTTAGTAATATTGTTGAGAAAACCATCTGATGTACACACTTAACATCATGCCAAAAAGAAACATGTCCTTGAGGTATGTTCTGTAGAACAACGTCATTCCAGAGAAGATGTAGAATGCTTTACTTGCATCACCCAACTCCAACGGCAATAAAACTCATGTGGAGAAAGAGGAGGCATTAACCTCCTCAAATAAACCTGTAAGGCACGCCAAAAGGTTCGCCGGAGCGACCAGAAAGGGCCTCTAAATAATGCTTCAGGAATTGACTATCAATCCGCCCTGAAGCAGACCCTCAATGAGTTGGAGGAAAAAGGGAGTGGTAAATCACCCCTTTCGAGTCCAACTAAACAAACTAGACAATCGGTGGGAAAAGAAACTCCACCAATGTAGTCTAGAACCAAACGTCAACGCTCCGACGACAGCACTGCTAAAACGGAACTTACAAAACTCCGTAGGGATGCCGAAGTCGAGCCGAAACGATCATTCAAGGCCGCGGCGGAAAGTATTCGAATAGAAATTATACAAAAAGACGTCTAGCTTTCGAATAAACAGCTGCAAGCTATACAGCTCGCAATCATGAGAACTGTAGAAAGGCAACCTGTGGAGGGACCCCAAATACATTTCCAGGGCTGCACTCTCAGACCGGGTCATCTCCTTCTAGACTGTGTCGACGCTACAACGGGTCGGTGGCTAGAAGGAGCCATGGACAAACTTCGCCCATAAAATGACGCACGTCTAAAGTTGGTGCAAGGTAAGGAAATACTCAAGCCGTTTACCTGATTATGTAGGATCCACCGCATTAACATGAAAGCAAGTAACAAAGAGGCTCAGGGTAATAAACCAGGGCCTGCGAACACAGGAGTGGAGCTGCCTACATCGGGTAGCCTCAGGCTAGTAGGGTCACACCTAGACGCTTTCCATCGTCAATGTCTCGATGAGAGAGTTGGAAAAACTTAACTTCCGGCCTTATTTCGGCTTTCGACTGATGCAATTCCGTCTTCAAAACAGAACAGACTCTCAACAGGTCTCGGGAACCTCGAGTAGGGTCACTAAGAACGCAGGAGGTGACAATATCACTCCAGCAGCTGAAGTGGGTAACAAGAGGATCCTCGGACCCGCACAATCTCATTGGAGACCCGCCTCCTCAAAGGACAAGTAGAAAAACCCCTGTCCAAGAGAGCAGTGCGAGAAGGCTCCAAAACCAAAGGAAAGGAAAACTCGGAGAATGGTAGTGAGAAAAAAGATTCTCTTCCACCTCCTCCGCCACCACCACTTCCTCTCTCAATCCCCCCCACTCGCTAAGACTATCATTCTGAGGGCGTTTAGGCTATTAAATTTTAAAAAAAGAAACACAAAGCATATCCAGGACACTAAAGCAATAACATGTTTGTACAATGGTTTAATCCGAAGTGTTCTTAGAGTATTGCAGTACTGTTTGATCTCCGTCTCAAGCCAGTTGATTGTAGCACATCAGCAAGCGACGTTCATGTAAACGAATTTGTCAACTTTTGATCTATGCAATTATAATATATCTTCATGTCAGTTTCACTGCGTTACATATTACCAAAAGAAAATGAAAATTAGAAATGTACCGTCTATAAAAAAGTAAGAATGACCTTAACTAGAGGGTATTTACCAAACCCTCATGCTCTGATCATTGTCACATCAGATTTGACATTGGGACAGATCGGAAAATTTTGTTTCAAGTTTTATTTCCAAAAATTGACCATGTATTTCAACATTAAAATTTTATTTTTTCGAAAACGGTCGACTTTAGATCGTATGACCAAGAGTACCTTTTTTGTGTAGAAAACATCGGCGGTTCAAATGTGCTTCTCAAAACCGTACTTTTTCCAGTGGCGTAGAAATTTTTTTTTCAATTTCAACACCCTCTATCTCGAAAATGGTGCATTTTAGACGGTAAGTTAATAGAAACGTTTTTTCATATTTTTGGACGAGCTATCACGTAAAGTCCTGCGCATATATTATGAAACACCCTGTATATTGACCGGTATACTATCATCGATTTAGTAATGTAATATTCGCGACGAGCATTACAAAGCTTAGTTCATCTCAAGCTCCGTCTTTAAAATATCCATTGGAATCACGTTTTATTTCATTAGCTACCGCAGATAGTTTCGCAGTAACGTATTCCAAAAAATGATGTGTTTTGTGATATAAAATTGTTGCACACTATCAAGTGGACATAATTAACAAACAGAAAAAATACGAAATTTCGATAAAAAATCGGAAAATTGATACAATTCTTTTAATCACAGCAGTGGGATTCGATATGATTCCGTAACCAGTTTCAATAAATTTCGAACACGTATCCAAAAAGTTTTTAAATTCGAAATGTTACGTGTGGAGTTTTGTTTTATTAAAACGAATGATATTGTGAGATAAAACAATCAACGGGTGCGAAATTTTATTAGAATAATGGTTGTTAGTACATCGCATTAACGACCCAAAATAAAACAAAGAAAATTCAATTTGTAGCGGTCTACTGGCTTTGGATATTTCTCATTAAGGACCCTTTGGGAATTATCTTTTTGATTTTGTTAGGCACAAATGAAACGGGTTTGAATTTTTTTAGAACATCTGCATATATGATGGAAATTTTAACTTTGTTTATCTCCGAGAGAAATATGTTTCATCGGTTTGTTAATTTAATAACTTTACTTTACAGGATGTTAGATATATGTTTAATTAAAAAGTTTAAATACTCATAGGACTATGGATTCTATAAACTTTGATATTTATTGTGATAATTATACTCTACCTACTGTAATTCGCTTATCATATTTTAACAATATTAACTCTAAAAGCAATCCTTAAGGTTAACTAGCACCGGAACTAGGGGAAGCAAGCTGGACCCTGTGCCCCGGGCAGTAAATTCAGAGGGCGGCAAATAGTAAAATAATTTTTTTTCATAAATAGGGTTTTGAAATCAATTCATAGATAATCAAAATTTATTTGAATTTTATCTGTGCAAAACAGGTCAAGTGTCTATCTAGGAGAGCGCGACGCGAATTTTCTGGAGAAAGGTGACATTTCGAGTTGTCTCGTGGCAAAAGATAGTTTTTGTTTAGAAAAAGTGATACATTTAGGTCTATAACTCTTTAAGGTAAGGTAAGTAGTATTTTATGGATATATTTATATTTTATGAGGTGACAAGCCGAAATGTTACTTTTATTTTTAGAATTTTTTTATTCAATAAAGTCATATATCTAATTATAACCTTTTTCTACAAATTACTACGAATTATGTTGAGTATTTTCATGTTTTGTTAATTTTTTTTTTTAATAATGTTTAAATAATTATTTGTGACATTTACAAATATTACTTTTTCACAAGCTGGTCACAAATGAACGAACTACGTTCAGGTTTTTCTTTGTTTCGTATTTTTTTTCCGATCATTTCTAAATAGTTATGTTTAATACAAATCAATATAACTGCAGGGGCATGAAATTTGAGAAATATATGATACATGTAACTTGTTTTCTGGGGCCGTATGTATTAAGGTTCTGGTATATTTTTGTAACGAATGTAACTTAAGTCCATAATGCATCAAAACTTAAATACATGCTGCCCCAGAAAACGAGTTACATGTACCAGCATATACCGCACACGCCTGTATAACTACTCACAGCCAAAAAAGTATAAGTAAATAATTACGTTTTAATTTTTTCTCAAACTATTTTTAAGCCGTGGGGGTGAATAAACGAGGTCATTTTGTTTTTAGACAGACAAGAGTATACAATGTCTTATAAAAAGAGGACTATGGAAATGATGAAAAACGTGGTGGGTAATACCAGTGATATACCTTCAAATACTTTAGATTTTGTGGACCTTCAGGAGGCAGTGCTTGCAGGTATTAAAATATTTTTTTGTTCAACAAGAAGTGGCTAATGTCCTCCCGAATAACCTTACTTATGTCACCCATAAGGCGAATACTGATATAACTCCTAATATTCAGATATTATTATTATATAAAGACAAATATTGTTATTCAGGAGACAGTGGTTGCAGGTAAGAATATAAAAAATTTCTTGCACAATTCATTTTCAGCTAAATTATAAATACAAAAAAAAATGTTGATTTGGTTTTCAGAATTTAGGTCCTATTTTTTTTTTAGTCCAAGATACCTATAAGTTACAAGAGGTTTCTAATGGCTTTCCTGATAACATAGCCAATGTCTCCCATGTGAATACTGTTACACAGTGAAATAGTGTTATAGTTGAAGCTCCCATAAAGTCAAGTATTGCTGCTAATCTTCAGGAAACATTGGTGGCAGGTAATAATAAAAGTTTTTTCTTTTTCAATCAATATTTAGCTAAATTAACAACACAAAAACTTTAAAGTGATTTGGTTTTTCAACAATTTAAGACAATGATTCTTATGAAATTTAAGAGGTTGTGTGTAATAATAGGATTTTCTATCTAAATTCATAATAAGCTACATTGAAAATACAAATAAACCAACTAACCCGAGCTAATTGTTTCCTAATTATTAGGAAACAATTCTCCTAAGTTTCAAGAATTTTCCAAAATATTACAAAATACCAAACCACAGAATGGAAGTCGTAAGCGTTCAGCATCATCATCATCATCATCATCATCGAAAAGATCATCATCCTCGTCCTTATCTGTGACAGATCCTTATGGCAGCGATGATAGCGTAGGTGATCCTACATACCAATTAAAAGGTGAGTCAGACATTGAAAATGAAGTGCCTGTTGAAGAAACAGCCAGAACAAAAAGCTGTATTTTAGGTTTTGGGTCATGCAGGACTTTTTATCAAGAATAACTTTTTTTTCCTAAAATCAATAATAAAAATGTTTTCCATATGGTTCCAACTTAAGTAGACACACTGTATATGCAGCAATGTAGAAAACCCACGGAAACCAAATAATGCATACTATTTTATTATAGATAACATAAATGTAAGAGTGTGTAAACAATTTTTCCTCTCAACGCTAGATATCAATAATAAAGTGATTGAAACTGTGATCAAGAAACAAAAACACTGTGACAATGGAATTGTATTAGAGACTGACAAACGGGGGAAGCATGAAAACCATTACAAAGTTGATGAAAAAATAAAAAACGATATAAGAGATCACATACGGTCCATACCACGAATTGAAAGTCACTACTGCCGATCTCATACAAAAAAGGAGTATCTAAAGGGGAAGTAAAACAATGGCAGATTTACATCGCGACTACCGAAAAATATGTGAAGAACAAAAGAAACCAGCTGCAAACTATCTAATGTACTGCAAGATCTTTAATGAGGAGTTTAATATTGCATTCCATTTACCAAAAAAGAACAGTGTGAATTGTGTTTGCAATACAGCAATGGTACTGAAGATGAGAAAAAAGCTATTTAGGAAAAATATGAAAGACACATAATAGAGAAGAATTTAAGCAGAATAGAGAAAGACGCAGATAAAAATAATGAAGATCCAGTTACAAAAGTTATATTGTATGACATGCAAGCAATACTGCCAAGTCCAGAAGGAGCAGCATCCTCTTTTTATTATGTTTCCAAACTCAACGTTTTCAACTTTACTTGGTATGGCATAAAGAGTAATGAAGGAACCTGCTATCTATGGCATGAAGCAGAAGCTAATAGGGGAGCCAACGAAATTGGTAGTTGCATTTTGGATTTCTTGCAAAAGATGTGTGAGAAAACGGATACCGGAGATGGATTAAAAATAACTTTTTATTCAGATAACTGTTCTGGCCAAAACAAAAACCAGTTTGTCCTCGCGTTACCTGTTTGCATTAAAATCATTTAATATAAAATCCATTACACATAAAGATATTTCTTTACTACTCAAGCTGTGTTATTAGCAGAAAGTCATTCAGGAAACATTGAATTTAAATCAACTGAACGCGATGGTATAACAGATATTTAACATCTGCTATGTAGTACAAAACATTGACCAATGACGAAAAACTTAAAAGATCTTGGCTTGTATATTCTAAAACAAAAAATGCAATTTTTTATGCACGCTGCAAGATTTTTCAGAAATCTTCCTTTTCCGGTACATCTGTATTGTCTACTACAGGATTTATTAATTGAAAAAAAGCTTATGAGAGATTAACCGAGCACAAGGCATCTCAAATGCACAAAGAGTGTATGATTAAGTGGAAAACTGGAGTTCAACAAATTATATTATGTCAGGATATTGACCAAGATATTGAGCGAGTAATTCAAACCGAAAAAGAAAAATGGAGACAGATCCAGCATATGGTTATAAGTCCCGATGTGGCCGGGACAGTCCCGATTTCAAAGGTATGTCCCAGTGTCCCGACCGGTCGATAGGTTTGTCCCAATTTACAATTAATTACTATTGTGTAAGCCACACTTAGTAGTTAATGCAACTTGGCAACAATGCGTACCTCACAATTAGATGCGTCGCTTTGTGTTTAGTGTTTCAGTCTTCAGTTCAGTCATCTCACAGATGTGCATGAGTCGACAACGACACCTCGTCTCTCTAAAGACGTGCCTGCTACAGCCTGCACCTTGAATGTTTTAAAGTTCCGGCACCAGTGATGCAAAATAATGTTATTTGTAGTAGTTATTTTAACATACAATTCGGTATTTCAGCATCTTGCTTTTGAATATGGCAAAATGGAATTGCTCATTTATCGCTGAACTTCAACGGGACTTCTCATTTTTAAAAAAAGTCGCTGGATCCTTAAATTGCGTGAAATGCGACAAGTGTACAGCCGAGTTTTCCGTAAGTCATGGTGGCCGAAGCGATGTAAATGATCATTTAATAACTGCCAAACATAGATCAAGTGAGGAAGCTGCTGCAAGTTCATCTAAAATCACCCAATTTTTCAAAAATTATGACGGAGGAGACACAGAGCTGGTAATAGCTGCTAAAGAAGCAATATTCGCTTTCCATACTGCCAAACATGATTTAAATTTAGAAAGCCTTGTCGTAAAAATTTACAAAATATTTTTACATTTATACCGTACGGTCACTCAATTAAAAGAATTTTGCACATTAGTAAATGTTGAATACAAAAAACTACTGTCACACGGAAGTACTCGATTTCTTTCACTTTTGTCAGTGGTTGAGGGAATATTACAAATTTTTGATGGATTGAAATCGTACTTCCTCTCTCAAGATCAATGTCCACTTGCAATAAAAAAGTTCTGTGACGACGAACGGGGAGAATTGTACTTATGGTTTGTGCATGGTCAATTGTAATTGTCTAATCAGACAATTCTTAATATGAAGAAATTGGAAATATAGAAGTTGCTGGAAAGACAGGAGAGCACATTTGTCAACAGATAAAGGAAAAGTTGACAGTTGATAGACATCAGACAATGTCGTGGCCAATCTTATGATAATGGATCAAATATGGCTGGCACCTATAAGGGAGTGCAATCCAGGATTACAGAAAGAAATGACCTGGCCGAGTTCGTACCGTGTTTGGCTCACTCCTTAAATCTTGTCGGTGTCCATTCTGCCTTATCATGCCCGGAAGCAATAAATCTATTTGGATTAATTTTAAAAAGTATTTTGCTTTTTAGTCGGCTCTACTACTCGATGGATACTATGAAGAAATTTGTTAAAACCAATTTAAAAGGAAGCAGTCAGACGAGATGATCGGCAAAACATGTTGCTGTGAAAGCCCTCTTAAATTATTTACCGGAAGTGGTGGAATTCTTGGAAGAACTTAAGCAAACTTCTCATGTTTCGGAAGCAAAGTACGAGGCAGGTAGTCTTTTAAATGCAATAAAGAATTTTAAATTTATATTGAACTTGACGATTTGGGCAAATAATCTCCGCGAAAGCAATCGAGTGAATATTGAAATTCAAAAGCAAGATATAATTGGCGTCGAACCTATTCTGCCAAATAAACGAATTCCGAGGTGCAAAAAACAATTTGACGAGATATGTGATAACGAATCACGAACACTTCAACCAGTTCAACTTTTTTCTCAAGCAACAATAATGGTATTTGATACAATCTTATCAGAAATTAAAAAGAGGGTTGATAGTGCTACCACGATGAATTTGAATTTCGCATTTCTAAATGGTACTGAATTTTTGAATACGTCAAATGAAGAACTGCAAAAGCTTGGAGCAGATCTGAGATGAAAATACGAGCGAGATTTAAACGCGGTTGAATTCTGCCAGGAACTCTACGTTTTTAAAGAGCAAGTGTAAAATAACTTTTCAATTGTAATTAAAAAACAACTATTTATTTCACTAAACGACAAACAATGGACTGTATTAAAAATAAATGAACATAGGTTTTATAAAAAGAAACAATGAACTAACGAAATGAAAATGAAATGTCTATTGAGTCTTTTACGGCTGACTTTCCGTGCTCGACTCGTGTCTGAGCTTGCAAAAAATATCTAAGACGATTGTTATTTTAACCCTAGGTGCGCGAAAAGGGTGGTTACGTAATTGCACAAGCTCTGTGAACTGTCTCGACGTTGCCACGTTTACGGATTTTTACGTAGACATTTTAACATCTGTACCGCGTTCTTTACATAATGCCGTTTTTCCCGTTTGAATCGAACCAGTAATTTCCGAGAAACACGCTTAGGCCCTTCTGGCTTTTCGTTCTGAACATGATTTTTTTTTGTATTACATTAATCTGTACCACGTTCTTTACATAATGCTGTTTTTCCCGTTTGAATCGGACTAATAATGTTTGAGAAACATACTTAGGTCCTTTTGGCTTTGGTTCTGTACATGATTTTGCTCTTCAACGTTCATCTATACCACGTTCTCTCCATAATGGCGTTTTTCCGTTTAAAATCTGACTAACAGTAACAAAGATATGAGTTTTAGATCCTTCTGGCCCGACACTGATGATTTTTCTCTTCAACGTTCATCTATACCGCGTTCTCTACATAATGCCGTTTTTTTCGTTTGAATCGGACCAGTAATATCCGAGAAATACGCTAAGATCCTTCTGGCTTTACGTTCTGCGCATGATTTTTCTGTTCGACGTTAATCTATACTGAGTTATCTACTGTAATAATATTTAATTTATTTTGTTATTTGTTTATTGTTCTTTTTTTAATAACTTTATATTTCAATATCTATATATTTTTTTCTTTTTTTTTTTTAATGATTGAATATGAATATTTTAAATTTGTTTTGTCCGGCTAGCCAATTTTATTATTGATGATGTTATTGGTTTTTTTTTTAAATAATGATTGTAAAAGACTCTATTGTTATATCTATTTACCTTTTATTTTATTTTTCATCTCAGGATTAGTCAGTAGGTTCAATTACTTTCTCAGTAACCCTCGTATTATTTTGAATAGCTATTATGCTCGCACCACTTCTCCATTTAACGATTTATCACTTCATAAAAAGGTAGACAACACGTAATACAAACAGTAAAAATTATTTATTATAAAAGATTATTTGTGGTTAACACATAAATTCAATTCCTATGGGCAAATAGGTTCATTTTATTTTAAAATTCATTCATTCTCAACATTCATACGTACTTAATATCTAATATGAAACTTAAAATAAATAACAAATTTTTGATTTATGCTGGTCAAATTAATATTCGACATTACATCAGTGGCAACTGGCAACACTGAATGATTTGACATTTCAATTAATGCAACAGTTCGTTATTTGCTAATGCAAAATAATAATTGTTCTAATATTTGCTTTTTAAAATTATTTGGGATAACCATTAATTATATCCACTATTATATTGGTAAGTAAATTATAAATAATTTGGTACCTTTTTTTTTTAAATCAGAGTTATTCACGGTGTGTTCATTTTTAACTTTGTTTTGAAGTTTTAGGCCCATCTCCTGAAATTCCAATGAAAATCCATTCGTTCTTCTCAAAACTGCCCCAACAAACCATCAACTCTTCTGGCCGGTCAGGTGACGTCACAGGTATGTTTTAATTTTCACTTTTCACTAATTTTTAAGAGTTTTGTTTACTAATTTTGGTTCCATATATGTAGGTACTTATTTTTACAACAATTTTTTAATGTTCTACCCTTGTTTGACTGAAATTTAATTAAATCTTTGTTTCCTTTTAGAGAGAACATATTTGCGTGGTGTCTTTCTCAAATTTCTACACCCCCGTTGTCCTTTTTTTATATCAACAACCGAAAAAATTGAAAATTGGATTCAAGCTTGAAATTTTGTTTAACCAATCAGAATTTTATAATTATGGTTCCTTTTTATTTAATTACTTTCCTGTTAATTGCAAGTGAGTTTATTTAAACTATTAATATTACAATTTTACCAAGAATTTCCTTTAAAATTTGATAATTATTGTTTCAATATCCCTGTTGTAGATTTTTAGTAATTTGAATTTTTCATGCTACATTATTTTAGGTTGGTAGCTTCATAGTGTTTTTTTTTTGTTTGGCAACCTTTTTAATGTACAGAGTGATAATATTTTATCATCCAATATTATTTTTTTTGTATTAGATCTGTATTTGTGATAATAAATTAATTACATTTTTAGATTTTAATGATGTCCACATTCCAAGGATTACTGAAAAGGCTTAGATAAAAGAGACCAGAGATATAACATACACCGGTTTTAAACCTGCGCAAATGTTGCCAATTTCTAAAGAAGGGTTAACGGAGTGGGGGAACTGGGCGGCGACACGCGGCGACCCGAACTCTGTGACAGGGACCGGACTTTGTTTATTAGCAACTTAATGAACTATTAGGTTTATTTAAAAGGTGTTTAATCGAATTTTGTATTATGAAATCAAATTATCGTGATTTTTTAATATCAAACAGATGCCACGACATTTTATGTAAAGAGAAGACCTTTTATAGAATATTTCGTTAGCGTTTATTTACTACGGACTTTTCTGCAAGAGATTACAGTAAAATGTTGAAATAGAATATATTGTTAATAGAGCAAAAAATGTTACTCATTGTCTACGAGTATTATAAAAATAGCATGTGCGCAGGCTAATACTGCAAATCTACCCTTATGAGTTGAACATTATATTTTTTCTACGGCTATTACATATTATTAAAAATTAGTCAAAATGAGAAAATGCTGTTTTGTATTGTAACCTCAGAAAAAGTATATTAAGGCTTCTTTCTTTAAGAATATTATTTATTATAAAGGATGAGTCACATAAAACTCTAGAAATGCATATGTCTGAAACCAGATAACATTTTAAAATTTAAATCTATTAAAAGTCATTTGGTCGCTAGGGATGAGTGATTATCGAAATAAATTATCGATAATTGAAAATAATCGATTATTTTCGATCAATAGATTATTTTCAAACAATATATTTTTTGTCATTTCCTTTAAAATCGACTACTTGATTATCTTTGAAAAATCAAAAATAATCGATTAATTAAAAAGCCAATTAACCGATAAATCAGTGTTTACAAAATATAATATGAATGGAATTATCGTTTATTTTAAATAATCGATTATTTTCAAATAAACCATTTTTTTTTCGTCCATGGAAACAGATTATTCGATAATCTTTGAAAAATCGAAAATAATCGATTAAACAAAAATAATCAATTAATTAAAAAGTCGATTAACTGATAAATCGATTTAAAAAAAAACAGAATGATCGATTATTTTAAATAATTGATTATTTTCGATCAATCGATTATTATCAATAATCTATTTTTATTGTATTTCCTTTAAAATCGTTAATTCGATTATCTTTGAAATACCGAAAATAATCGATAATTCCAAAATAATCGCCTAATCGAAAATAATCAATTAATTAAGAAGCCGATTCTATGATAAATCGATTATTACCAATAATCTATTTTATTGTATTTCAAAAATATTCGATTAATTAAAAAGTCGATTAACTGACAAATCGATTTTCAAAAAAAACAGAATGATCGATTATTTTAAATAATCGATTATTTTCGATCAATCGATTATTATCAATAATCTATTTTTATTGTATTTCCTTTAAAATCGATAATTCGGTTATCTTTGAAATACCAAAAATAATCAATAATTCCAAAATAATCGCCTAATCGAAAATAACCAATTAATTAAGAAGCCGATTCTCATATTTCCTTTGAAATTGATTATTCGATTATCGAAAATAACTGATTATTAAAAAGCTGATTATCCAATAAATCGATAATTTTAAAAAAATAACCAAAATATCGATTATGTAAAATAACCGATTATATTCAATCGATTATTTTCATATAATATCTTTGAAAAATCGAAAATAATCAAATAATTAAAAAACCGATTAAACGATAAATCGATAATAATTTTGAATAAATGTACTTTTTCTGTATTTCCTTTAAAAACAGCGGATAAATCGATTTTCATTAAAAAATATCAGAATTATCGATAAATCAATTATTTTTGTAACCCCTATCGGTCGCTTGCTTTTATCTGAGCATTTAGTTCCAAAATTTAGAGATTCGGATTTTTTGATCCAGTTATCTTTGAAATCGCATTCGCTTGTATAATAAATAAATATTGCTAAATTTTGGATTTTTTTTTAGTAAACGAAAATTATGTTCGAGTTGTTTAGGGGTTTGTAATGTAACATTTTATTAACGTGACTAAGGGTTGATTCCACCGTTGTGTTAAACGAAGTTTAAAATGACATTTTTACATTAACACTGTCATTTTAATCTCCGTTTAACACAACGGTGGAATCGGACCTAACTCCTGTAACTTTAGTATTTTTTTTTGTTTATACTAGATTACTTTGTTTTAAGACTGAAAATTCAATGTCACTTTCGATTTGACCGCAAATAAGATGAACCTTGAAATTTTAAGTAGGTCATCCTGTATTTCATCTAATATTCTTATAAAAAAATACCTTATAAAAATAAAATTTAGCTAGCAACTATGATTCTTTACCTCTTATTTATCTACCAAAAAGGGCTAAAAACTACCTTTAGAAAACATTCTTATAAAACTACTATTTAAATACAAAATTTCGTTAGCAATAATGCCTATTTACTATTTATTTAAATTAAATGTTCAAAATTTTACCCTTTTGTAAATTTATGTAAGTAATATGAAATATGATGCTTAATATTTATTGAAATCCCTTAATGCGGATCTGAAGTATTCAGCCCAGAGAATCATGTCGCTTTATGTCAAAACGTTAATAAATATTTACCGCTGAAAACGAATATATTCATAACAGTAGTACTTGTATTATAAGTACATACAATTTTTCAAGATACATCGTGACATTTTGAACTTGAAATTGAATAACTAGAACACTTTAAATTGCTAAAATACCAACAAATAAATCAAAAAACAGCTGTCAATGGTGATTAAACTCAGGTGGAGGTGTGATCGCTGAATGGAAATCGGAGCAATTCGGGTGGCGTCGTGCAACAATGATTTTCAATTGGTGGGTTACTTTGGCTTAAAATAGACAGCATGCGCAGTGTGCAATGTTACATCTTCGGTCTCTTTAATCTAAGTGAAAAGGTTATTGAAAAGATTACTTGAAATATTGAATAGGACCAATTAGGCATTCCAAACAAATGAATTACCAGTGGGCAGGTTTGGTATATCTAAGGGTGGCGACATATGGTGTATTCTATCTACTTTACGTAAAATCATGAATAATGGATTACATTTAAATATTTTATGTCAAACACAATAAAAATAATATTTAAAAAATCCACCTATACATTTCTTCATAAATTGGCAGGCTTGGCGGGTACTACTTCGAATAAAAATAGCGTCCAAGTTGCAAGACTATGTCGCTACCCCCTTAAATATACAAGAATTTCCCACTGGCACCTATTGTTTGACAGGTCGTTGGAATGCCTAATAGCAATAAAGATACACACTTAGGCCCTTTTGGCTTTGTTTTTTCGTTTATCACGTATATTTTTCATTGTTTACGTCAACGATTGCCGCCATCTTGGATTCACGACGTTATCTAACCGCGAGCTAATGTTATCATATTTACTGATAAGCAAGACTTTGATTCTAAATAATCCAACAATCAAATTTATGCGCCGACCACGTTGTTAGCATGGTAATACAGAATTTACGGTTCTCCATGGAAAAAACACCATCTACGATGGTATTTTCCTCAAGCAATACCTGTAGCTCTTACCAATGCACAAACGGCTTTCCAAATGTGACAAAATACTTCGACATTAACGTTTGAAATGGTTACTGCCCCTAGTATAACATCTCCTGATATTACTATAACTGTTTGCAAAACTCATTATTTTAGAACAAATTGTATGGATAATGAGGAATGCACGTTGACCCTTGACGGACGCAGTCTAGCTGGCGGAGCAAGTGCCATTGCGAAAACTGCTATCGATGCTAAAACGCTCGTAAGAATAGGTTTCATCCTCCTCATCGCAGAATCAACACTCATCTTTTGGTATCGTTTTCATCGCATAATCAACACTTTTAGTTTCTCCCATTGACTCACCGATGTTGTTTTTACTTTGTTGGGTCTACATTTAAAAATAGGTCGTCGCAGAATCCACACTTATCTTTTAGTTTCTCTCGTTCCCTCACTGCCGTTACGTTTTGCTAGGCATACATGTAAGAATAGGTTTCATCCTTCTCATCGCTGAATTAACACTCATCTTTAAGTATCGTTCTCATTGCATAATCAACACTTTTAATTTCTCCCATTAGCTCATCGATGTTATGTTTTACTTTGTTGAGTCTACATTTAAGAATATGTTTCATCCTCCTCGTCGCAGAATCCACACTCAACTTTTAGTTTCTCTCGTTCCCTCACAGCTGTTATATTTGTTACTTTGTTGGACATACATTTAAAAAATAGGTTTCATTCTCCACATCGTAGAATCCACACTTTCTTATTTTAGACGTCCGCTTATAAATTTAACCACTAACTTTGATTTTTGAGGTTAACACAACTCAACAATGCAATGTTTAGACCAAATTATAAATATTTTTCTGTTCAAAGTTAACCTTTTTTCTGAAACTTATACTCATACTTTATAGAAATATCTCACACTTCAGCCTTTATCCTCATCAGTGATAATTTTAATTCTATTGCTTTTCCCAACTTTTATAATTTATTTATTTATTTGAATTATCATAAACTAAAGAAAGAGAGCACTATTATTGCAGTATCACAAGATATCTATTACCTATGTTTTAAATTATTTTGAATTTCAGTTCAATATAGGTATAATATAATTTTCAATTTCAATTATTCGTTAAAAATTTGTCAATAAATAAAACGATAAAACCATTCTGTGCGTTATGTTCCTACATTTGGCAAATATACAGCTTTACTGGCGAAACGTGACTAATCACCCTTTATACTTAATGCAATAAATAAATAAAAAACTGGTAAACTTGTAAAATATGTTAAAGTTATAGCAATAACATATTTTTACAATGTGCTACTGACAGAATTCATTTAGATATCCAACGATTTTTTGCTACCGATTATTTAGAATTTATTTTTATATAAATTAAAAATAAAATTCAAAATTGAAGTAAGTTTTTATTACTAAATAGACATAAAAGCGAAGCAATTGCTACTACTTTTAGCTCTTCTTTTTCTTCTACTAAAACCTTTTTCTTATACTCATTTTTAAAAGACAATAGATTCAGATAGTTTCAAAAAAAAATTGAGAAGATCGCTATCAGTACAAATTTTTTGAATAACTAATTCATTTGTTTATTATTTACCTCCAGAACAGATATCATTTTGTTGAAATAATTTTAATAATTTAACTGGTCTATTTTTAAACTGTTCAAACGTCTTCCAAACGAGTAAAAGTTCGGGGAAATGTGGAACGTTGTCAGCGTGTAGTTTGCATCTTTATCTAACGGTAGATAATGTCCGAGATCCACACTATCGTCGCAGATTAACGCGACGGTATTGGCAACAACGCCTTTGAAATTATCTTGGACGTTATTGTCGAAACAGTGTCATGATAGGGATTTCATAAAGCAGGTACCGTAATTGTTTGTACAGTTCATCAAATTTCTAGAGGCTTTCGACGGCTAGACAGAGAAAGCACTACTGAGAGGCATCGGTTGGCGGGGCCGACGGATTTACGCAATGAAAGTACACTCTGCGCATCAAGTATTTCACTATTTTATTCAGACGTAAATGTCAGATGTAAATTTCGCTAAAACATTTCATTTATTTTCGTTTGTGTTTTTTGCCCATTACAGTTTAATAGAACCTAAGTATGGAGTTTAATAGCAAATTAAGAGGCCGCGTGATTAACAGTCAATCTTGCGAAATAATAGCCAATGTTATAGAGTTTATGAGAAGAGAAGGAAACTTTAATTCACCTTCAATACCATTTAAAAATGTAAATGATCGTGTTGCTGCAGCCACAGGAGTATCTAAAAACACTGTCGTCCGCATTTCTGGAGAGAAAAAAAGAATCGATAACCGTGAGATATCGGAATTTTAATCACCAAGAAAAACCATTAAAAAACCAAAAACAGTTAATGATATAGATGAAGCTGACAATGGTATTTTAAAAAGAATTATTCTGTTCATGTTAATCTCGGAAAATATTGTTCCAACATTAAAAACAATTCTGACTAAATTTAGAGAAGCTACAGGGTACAAAGGAAGCTATGAAAGTTTAAGAAAAATAATAAAGTCGCTAGGATTTCGTTGGCGGAAAACAAAAACAAACAGAAAAATATTAATGGAAAGGTTTGATATTCAAAAGCTACGTTTAGATTATCTGATTCGTTTAAAAAGTTATCGAGCAGAGGGCCGTCCAATTGTCTACTTAGATGAAACATACATTCATGCCTCCCACACACACCAGAAAGCTTGGAGTGATAATTCAAATGAGGGATTAAAGAAACCAATTAATAAAGGTGATAGACTAATTATTGTCCATGCAGGAGGTGAAATGGGCTTTATTCCGAATGCCCGGTTAATTTTCAAATCTGGAACCAAAAGTGGAGACTACCACGATGAAATGAATTTTAATAATTTTTCTAAATGGTTGAAAGAAAAGCTGTTTCCGAACCTCCCTCCAAGAAGCGTCATTATTGTTGATAATGCTCCTTACCATAATGTCCAGGTAAATAAAGCACCAACGTCAACTTCTAAAAAAGCTGACATGCAGGATTGGTTAAGGAATCATAATATTGCTTACGAAGAGGATATGCTCAAAACGCAATTATACAGTTTAGTGCTATTGCATAAGTCACGATTTAAGAGGTATGCAATTGAAGAAATGATAAATGAACATGGTTTTAGTTGTTTGCGTTTGCCACCGTATCATCCCGATCTTAATCCGATTGAATTAGTGTGGGCATCATTAAAACAATATGTAGCTAGTAACAACACCACATTTAAGAGGCAAGACGTACAACTGTTGTGTGAAGACTTTTTTGATACGTTTTCTAAAGAGGAGTGGCAATCTCGTTGTAATAATGCTAAAATGTGGGAATCTAAATTTTATGACAGAGAAGTTACTTTGGATGAGGCAACTGATAGATTTATAATTAACTTAAACAGTGACAGTGAGACTGATTTTGAATCTGATATGGAAACTGAAGAAAGTTTTTCGGAAGACCATTAAAATTATATCTGTACCTAAGATCAAAAAAGTATTATCTATTTTTACAACGAAGATGCACAAGAATCAAATTTTATTTTTTTATTATTAGATAGCTATTTTTGTTTCCGATTGTGTTCATTTACAGGCTCAATTTTTTTCCGTTTCTCCTTTTTGATTTTATATGGGGTTTCAAGTTGTTTTTGACTTATTTCGACGTAAATCACAACAACACACTTTTTTAATAAAGCAAACAAGTGTTAAGAGGTATATGTACGTGTAAACTACAATTACAAAAAATTGATATGAAACCCATGAAACCACCAACAAAAATGTAAAGCTAGCTTCCGTACTAGAACATGGTGTCATTCGTCGAGATAATTTATCGTTTTGTTTAATAGATCAAGAAATGTAAATATTCCCCTGTTATTTTTTATAAAATTATAAGAGAAATAAATTTTTTTCTAAATAGTATAGTTTATTATTTTGTAGAAAAACAAAATTTCGAAAATGTTAGTAATGTTTTAGAAACAACCGTTATTAATAATAGGTACCATTTTCCTTAATAAGGTAGAAATAAAATATAAACTATTTCCACGATTTACAAAGGCCTACAAAAAAAATTATAGGTATTTTCCGCTATCCTATAAAATTTATATTTTCTGACTCAATTTCAAAAGGTTGAAGGAATTCCAAAACACCTTTTATGGCATAATAATAATTTTCAATTCTACATACTATCTGTAGCTGCTTTTAAAAACGTTCTAAGAAAGTCCAATCAGACCAATTTAATCCCTAAACTATTCCACACTTTTAAAATTTAATTACCTAAAAATATTAAAAACTATTTAAAATAACTTGTTTAGCAGACTGTACAATAGCTGTCTTAGTCACACGTAGCGCGTTCTCTGTCTGGGCGTCGAACACCTCTAGAAATTTGATGAACTGTTATAGACAGGTTAAGTATAACCCGGTCTCTCTAATATTAGTGGAAGGCTCTTTTACGTTTATAAACAAGGCATGAAAAAAACGATATTAATACTTCGAAGGCTGAGACTAGAGGAAGAAAAAAGATTAAATTGGAAGATATAGCCAAACAAGACATTCGTCGTGCAGTACATGCATTTTTTATTAAAAAGGAGTTACTAACTGTAAAGAAAAATCCTTCATCTCTTCAATCTAATGAAAATCTCCCAAAAATATTAAGACGTGCTTTATTACCTACTTTGCGTAAAATGAAATTTACCTATTTAAAGAGAAAGAAGAATAGTATCCTTATTAAAAAAGAAGAAATCATTTTTTGGCACGGAAAATATCTGAAAACAATAGCAGAGTTTCGAAGAGATGGCAGAAAAATATATTATACGCAGATGAAACCTGGTAAAATGACAAAAATTTGCAGGATTTAAATGTTGAAAACAAACATCAAGCTTTTGTAGATGATTTATCGACAGGTTTAAAAGCCACATCTGGAAAGGGAAAACGCCTTATTATTACCCATATTGGTAGCGACTTAGGATTTGTTGAAGAAGGTTTAAACGCATTTGTTTCTAAAAAGACTGCAGATTATCATGAGGAAAGGGATATAGAACATTATGATCTCTTATTGTTATGGATAATGCTCCATACCACATCCGGCGCACACTGGTTCCACATTCCTAGAATCCGGTCAAAATAGAAAAAATGTAATAACCAATTTTAAGAATTTGGATGTATGGGTCAGGTAGAAAGGTGTTTAGGCTACCTCTTAGTGATGGGAAAATTCTTAACAATTGCTTGTTAGTACATAGATTTTAGTTGCCGATTAGGGTTTGTCGAAAGTGGTAGTGTTCAGAGAATTTTAGATTGTGAATTAGTTGTAATATAAAGTGCATTATTTTGGACTTGAGTTAATTTATAAA